ACCCGCCGCCTCCGGCCCCGCCCTCCGCGCCGCCCCGGGAAAGGGAGGCGGGCAGCGCTCAGCCGGGCGGTATGTCGGCGCTGGAGTGGTTCGCGCACAAGGCCCTGGGCGGTGGTATCTACTGGATCCAGGAGCGCTTCTACGAGTCGGGCAACCGCGCCAACATCTGGCTGGTGCGCGGGTCGCAGCGCGACGTGGTCATCGACACGGGGCTGGGGCTGCGCAGCCTGCCCGACTACCTCCGCGCCGCCGGGCTGCTGGAGGTCGGGGCCGACGACGAGGCGGAGGAGGTGGTGGGCGGGGGCCGGCGGCCGCTGCTGGCCGTAGCCACCCACGTGCACTTCGACCACGCGGGCGGCCTGCACCAGTTCGCCGAGGTGGCGGTGCACGGCGCCGAGGCGGGCGCGCTGCGGCGCGGCGACAACTACGAGGCGGTGACGTGGCTGTCGGACCGCGAGGTGGTGCGGCCGCCCGGCCCCGGCTGGAGCGCCCGGAGTTTCCGCGTCCCGCCCGTGCAGCCCACGCACGTCCTGCAGGAGGGTGCGTACGGCCCGCAGGGGAGGCGCTGCGGGGGTCGCGCCTGCCCTCCGGGCTGTGGGGAGGTCGAGAAGGGGGCGGGGCGGGGAGAGCACCTGGGTGGGGGTGCCAGCCCTCCAGGATCGCCCTGGAGTCTGCAGGAGTTGGATACAAACCTCCAGGAGACTGCTGAGCGCTCCCGGGAGAGAAACGAGAGGGCACGCATTAACAAAAATCTGATTCAACATTTAATAATATTAATCTAGTAGTCCCGCCGGTGTCTAAAATGTAGTAGTAAAGTGCATGTGCCTTCCTGATGTCAAGTCAGTAATGTTATGAGGTCAGGTGATGACACCTGCAGGAACGGACTGAAGGAGAGTTGGCAGCCCTATGCCTAGGGTTGTTGGTTGTAGCCATGTTGGTCTAAGGACATGGGCAGACAAAGTTCTTGGGGTCAATGGGGGTATCTTTTATTAGAGGTACAGGTTGTAGCTGTGTGGCTTGTTGCCCTCTTGTGGGCTCAGATCAGGTGTAGTCTATGCTTACCTAGGGGAAATACCGTGATCACCGCTGTGGCTTCCTAGTCGCACACAGGAAAGACGCTTACCCACGTAGGTAATGCACAGTTAACCGGGGCTTTATGCACACTTTATGGAAATGGGAGACTCCTTCCTAGTTTGCTTCTAAGGCCTTATGGCTAAGGGCAAGCAAAACTCAGGGGCCCCAAGTCTCTGGGCTTGGGCCTGCAAGCAGGATGCACGCCAAAGGATTTGGGAACATCTGAAGCCCCAGGTGGGGGTGGAGGATATTTGCCAATAGTAGGGCCACTTTGGGTTCTGGACTGACTCATGGATTTGGGATTGATTTGGCTAATTAGGCTTGGAATACAAAAATTAAAAACAAAAACAGGTTGTTGCCGTGTTGGTCTGCAGGCAAAAGCAATCGGAACTGTTGGGGAGGTGATATCTTTTACTAGACCACCTAGATCTTTGCAAAAAAAATCACCTCCCCAAGAGCTGTGATATCTTCTGTTAGACCAATTGGATTCCATGCAGAAGAGCATGCTAAGAAATGCCAGACTCTCGGTGCCTGAAGAAGGGTGTTTGTACCTGGAAACCTGCAAAGAACAATTTTCCAACTCTTTAATTGGTTTAATAAAAATATCACATTGACCCAAATAACCTTGTCTGTAGAGCACCTCGGTGCAAACACAGCTGGGCTTCCAGGTAAGCGCTGATCCAGTAGGGAACCCGGGGCCCTGAGCTTGTCGAGAGCAGTTGCCCCCATACACAAGCGCACCAGCTATATAGGCCATTTTGCTGGCATTCCTGTGCCCTTCCAGGGTCCTTCTGCACCTAGTGCTCTATGTCTTAAACGAGTTAGTCTATAAGGTGCTTCCCTGCCCTGCTGCCTCATGCATGTCTCGCACACGGGGACAGTGCGCATCTGTCTCGACATAGGGCAGTGCGCCTGCATGGCTGCATGTCAGAAGTTTGTACGTATTGCCTCTGTGTTTTTTTGTGCCCACATCTCTTGGATACTTACTGCAGTTGTTTCCACATCTAATATCAGCCATATAGGCTAGGGTGTGTTTATATGCATCTGAGTGCATACCAGGATAGTTTTTGGTTGCAGTGTTGGTATTTGTTGTATATAGTCTTTAAATATAAAGAATGGCAATTATATTGGCATCTGCTTCACTGATGTCTGTTACCGGATCAGCAGAGTCATAATGGCTGCATCAAGTTGTATGTTTGTAGTGAATCTCTAGAGCAGGGAGGCACAAACTTGTCTTGGTTTCCAGATAAGAGACCTGATTCTTTTCTGCCTTGGTCTTATGTGGCCTTTTCTAGCAGTGCAAAGAGCAAGTAAAATGTCACAACCTCAAGTCAGTGGAGAATACTGATTTGGTAATGGTTTATACCCCAACATGTAAGCAGCTTCTCTGGATATTGGGTAGTAAAAGATCAGGCATATTAGGTGTATTGGAGGGAATTATGTTACTAGATGTAGAAGACAAACATTTTCAATGCCCTGTAAAATCTTAATTTTTCATCTCTCTTTGGAAGTGATAAAGAAAATAATACTTTCCTTGAGCTAGTCAAATAAAAACATTACTTTGTTGTCCTGTGGGAAGCAGGTAAATCAGTGGCTGGGGATGACACTGCCAGGAATTGTGTGGTTTTCCAGTCAGGGTTGTTACAGGAAGCGGAAGCTTTTTCACTAATGGGCAATAGAATCTGCACCTAAGGAGAGAGTTGTCTATCAGTCAACAGCAATTTGGACCAGACAGGATGATAATCTTTTATTGAGTATATGGTTATGTCTGTCCTTTCACTTCTTAAGAGAGATTAATGCAACTATATGCATGTATTCTCAGTATTTTGGCTATTTTTTGATGACGAAGGTAAGGAAAATCTGAGACTTACATCTCAGTTCCTTCTTTTATACTGAAAAAAATCTAGCAGATACAGGCGCACATTTGTTTATACGTATGTTTTCCCTGGTTTGATCCTAAAGCAAAGGAAGCAATTAACTGTACCCTTCCTCAGCAGTTAAAGGAAATGAAACTCTATTCACAATCCTGATGTTTTTTAATTGTGAAGATTTCTGAGAGAGCCAGAAACCCTTTTTTCTTCTCTTATGGCACTAATGTACCCCTTTTTATAGTATGGAAATAAAAGCAACCATAAGAAATGCTGTTGTTTTATTTGTGATATATTTTAAAACATCAGCTTGGATATAGGCCAACCTGGATTGCTGTAGCACTGACTATTTCAAAATTATCTAGTTGTTTTATTGCATGCTATAGGGTAGATTCTTCAGTTAATAAAATCAAAATGAATCTCAAGGTAACTGTTTTAGGTAATATTTATAAAATGTACAGGAGAAATATTTGATTAAAGTTAGAGTTAAAAAAATCCTTGAGCAGTACAGTTTTTCCTCCTTTTTGAATAGGTCTTCACTACAGAAATAGGTTGTTGGCTCTGTGTAGTTTGATCAGGGGTGTGATTTTTAAAGTATATGAAAAAAATGAAAGTTGGGGATATAGGCATGTCTGCATTAAAGGTTTTAGCTTTAAAATATTTAGATGATAGTAAAGGTTTATG